CTCTATTGCCGTGAAGATGCTTATAAAGGAGCCATGACAAGGCTTATAAAGGAAAACATTTCATTTAGTGATTTGGTTCAGTTCAGAGGTTTATTTCATTATCATCATGGCGTGAAGCAGGGTTGTGTGCAGGCAGACACGGTGCTGGAGAAGGAACTGTTCTTGCATCTTGACTCACAGGCAACAGGAAGTGGTCTGAAGCCAGTATCTGATTTGATTTAAGATCCATTCCATAGAATGGATCCAGGACCTGACAAGGCTTCAGTGACTTATAAAGGCTTATAAAGGTATCTTGAGCATATATGAGACCTCAAAACTTGCCTCCACAGTGACACACTTCCTCCAGCAAGGCCACACCTCCTCCAACAAAGTCACACCACCTAATAGTGCCATTTCTTTGGGGACCATTTTCACTCAAACCCCCACAATGTCGGTCTCTCTTTGCAGTCCTTGCTCCACTACATGACGTAAAATCATCATCAAAGAGAAGGTGGGGAGGAGGAACAGGGAGGAGCAGAGGGAGGGGAAACTGATTCAGATTGTATTGAATGAGGAAAGAATCCACGTTTAATAAGAGGAAAAAAGAAGTCATCACAGAAGTTATTTGATTTTAGAACAACTTTATCATATATAGATGTAGTAAAATTGTTTCCTCAACTGCATTTTCATATATTGCAAAGTATAGACTAGAATAAATAAAAAAATTTACTAAAGTTGCCATAAACAAAGTAAAACTGTAGAACACTTAAGGCTCCTGTAAGCTAGAAGTCTGACATGAAGTTACAGGGGCACTGCACTGGGTCTTGCTAGCAGTCCTTGGCATTCTTTAGGCTGCGTTTGCACTAGTCCAACTTTTCCTCTGTCACCATTTGGTTCTTCCTCCAATGCTGCACCTGATATCCTGTGTGTCTCTTCTTGAAAGGTCAACACCATATTGGAATAAGGATCTTCTCTATTCTGACAAGGTGTTACATCCTAGGCATACAAGCAAAAGCACACACAAAAAGATTGTACTTCCAAATATGGTCACATTCGTAGGGACTAGAATTGAGTTAGCATACTTTTTACAGAAGGAACAGATTTCTGCATGATATAATTTTAAAATTACTTGCATATTGAATTATTATTTAATAGGTTTAGCTCTTTGATTTATGGGGGGTAAATTTCTGTATAAAAGCTTTTCTTTCATTGATTGCAATTTGCCTTAAAACTTCAAGACTGGAATGTGCCTTCTCTTTTGGGTCCTCTTGTTAATTATATTAATACTTTCCATCAGAAGCACGTTTTATTTGGGGTATACAAATTAATAAGTATAATATTATGTGTAAGACTGTATTCATATCTTTAAGAGGGGAAATCACATTATTACTTTAATTAATGCAGAAAAGTCCTTTCATGCATTTCAATTTCCCCTGATGATAAAGCCATGAGAGAGAAAGAACCTATCTTCCCATAGCAAAAGTTACATATGAGAGAACCACATACTAAACGTGGGAGGAACCTTTAGTCTTCTAAAATGTCTAAGGAAACAAGTGTCTGCTCTCCCATCGCTCACTCAATATAGTGTTCTGTTTAGCCAGGGCGATAATTCCGAGAGAGAGCAGGGAGATAGATGGGGAAGGAGGAAATCAAACCATCCCTATTTGCAAATACCATTTTATACTTAAAGGACATTAAAGGGTCCCCCAGAAACTATTAGAACTGATAAATATTTCTAACAAACTAACAGAGTACAAGATCAGTTTTGAAAAACAGTAGCTTTTCTACATACCAGTAATGAACTTAAGAAAAACAGAAATCAGAAAAAAAACACATTTATAATAGCTTTTTAAAAAACCTTCTAAATAAACTTAGCCAAGGAAGTGTAAGGCCTCCAAATGAAAAGCTGAAATATTGAGAAAAGAATTTGAAAACACTGAAAGATGGTAAATTCTCTGAGGCTCATGGGTTAGCAGAATTAATATTGTGAAAACAGTTACATTAACAAAAAACGTCCTTCAATATTTAAAGGACAATCTTCATTGAACTATAAAACCACTATAAATCTGTATGGAAGCACAAGACCCCAGATAGCAAAATCATTTTTTTATATAAAAGAGCAATGCTGGAGGCATCACAATATTATTTCAAATTATATTACCAAGCTTTAGTAACAGAAACCATGTAGCACAGGCACAAAAACAGACACATAAATCAACTGGATAAAACAGGAGAACGTAAACACACACAAGCACTACCGTCTAAGGTATCAAAAACAAACACTGGAAAAGAGATAGGCTGTTTAACAAAGGGTACTGGGAAATCTATAAAGATGAATGAAACTAGGCCCACATTTTTCATCCAGCACAAAAATCAATTTAAAAAAATTACCAAAGTCTGAGGTCAGAAACCTTGAGACTTGCAGAGGAAAACACACATGAAGCTTGAAGAGACAGAGACAGAGGCTCCTGGATCAGTTCCAGCTCAATTCCTCCGAGTCCTGTGTCCAAAGTAAGCAGTCAACCATAGAGTCTCTGCTTCAGGACAACAATGGGCAGAAAGCTTATATTGTGACTGAAGTCTCCTGAACTCCCCTGATCAACAACCCCAAGGGAGACTTCACTGCCTGGTACTAGGGTTTTCTTAGATAGCGTATGGCCTTGGGACATTATCAGCCCAAGTGGTGTGACTTCATTTAGATATACTTATATGTGCATATACATACGCTGATATGCTATGTTTTTAAGTAAACAGAAAATAATCACCGCTAATGTTCTTTGTACCCCTTCCTGTCTTTCCCTCTGTTTTGCCTTCCTCTCCACTCCCCAGCTATAGCCCTCCTACTTTTCCTATGTTCCCTTTCAGAGAATCTATACCATCCTGTGCCCCTCTTCACGGTTCCCCTCACAGTGATCCTTCTTTACTTTCCCTGCCTCTGGGGCAATACGCATTGCATCAATAAGGCCTGCACAATGACAACAATAGCTGGCATGCCACTGTGAATGGGGGAATCTCGTAAGGCCCCAGCTCCAGATGCAGACAATTATTAATAGCTGCTAAGAGAAGGGCGATCAGTCGTCTTCTCCAGGGAAGAGCCCCATGGCAGGTTACCCAATCTCCAGCCGTCAGTCCTAAACATGGAACACTAAATAGACTCAGTGGGTTGTATTTGCATATGCTCATATAAATGTGAAATAATAGTGAAAGAAGAGGTCATGAATGTGGGGGAGTGGAGAAGCACGGGAGGAGTCGGAATGGGCAGAGCCTGTGTTGGAAATGAGGTAAATCCAGTACTTATGTATGAAATTCTCAAAAAAAAAAATATGAGAAGGTACTTAAAAACCCAGAATGTTCCAGAAAGGCTTGAGGGCAATGGAAACAATCACAAAACTGACAGGTGGGATGCTATGAAACCGAAAAGTTTCTACACAGCCAAGGAAGGAATAACCAGAGTTAAGGGACAACTCACAGACTGGGAAACAAAATCCAACTACACTTCAGATCTAGGACTAATACCTAGAATACATGAAATTAAACACCCGAACTAAAAATGAGCTGGTTTTTCTCTCCATTGCATCCTTTATAAAATGACATAGGGAAAGAGAGTGGGAGCCGTTGGAGTGTCTTGTAAAGGCACTAACCGCATTTCCAAAGACTTTGTTCCCGTGGCTGACCTGGAGAGGGCATGAGGCCTGTCTGCTCACAGATAAACACTAGGAAACCCAGAAATATTAAACACATGGGGTTGTTCCAGTTGTGTGACTGATTTTCTGTCCAGAAGACAGGAAATGGACATGGTTAATAGCCCGGTGACCGCTGCACTATCTCGATGGCGAGGTCACATCTGTCTCCCGTAGACTCTCATGTTTATCCCAGTCATCCTCCCTAGACCCTTATTTTGAGCATTGTTTCTCAGCTAATAGAATCCCTCTTTAAGAGACTTGTAACATGTACTTTACACAAGGGAACAGAGGCGGTTAATAACCCAGTGACGTTTACACTATCTATATGTCTGAGGTCATTCCCCAGACCCTTAAGATATCATATAGTCAATCCATAGAGCCCATCCTATGGAAGAGGTCACTATCTTTTGAAAAGAGTTTCAATATAATCATTTATGAGCCTTGTTGTACACATGGGGTTGAGTTAATTGTCTCCAGGAAACATTTTTTACAAATTGTCTTGTACTTAAATATGCCTAAAATTAATTGCCCAGTGTCAGACTCTCAGAGTTTGAACTAGCACTGGCTGCTGAGTTGTGCTGAACCAGACTTCCTTCTTGTCTCATAGTCTCTTGGATCATTACTCTGCTGGCTGTGGTGTTTGCAGAGACCTTCCACCCTGATCTCCTCCCACTCTTCCGCATAAATTTGGGGTGACATAAACCCATTCAGCCTAGAACAATCAAATTATAATGTAGAAGCACAAAAATTCTAATCCTCCAGAAAATCATTAGTATTATTTATGAACCTGAAAATGAGTGCCAGATGTTGTTAGAAAAGTCAAATTTTAGCTGGGCGGTGGTGGCGCACGCCTTTAATCCCAGCACTTGGGAGGCAGAGGCAGGCGGATCTCTGTGAGTTTGAGGCCAGCCTAGTCTACAAGAGCTAGTTCCAGGACAGCCTGGTCTACAAAAGCTATGGAGAAACCCTGTCTCGAAAAAAATCCAAAAAAAAAAGAAAGAAAAAGAAAAGTCAGATTTTAGATGCTCATAATTGTTTTGAATATTTTCATTTCATGTGTCTTTGCCTGCATGCGTGGCTATGTACCACGTGTGTGCGGTGCCTGTGGAGGCTAGAGGAGAGCCGCTGTTCCTCTGGAATGTAGTTACAATCAGTTGTGAGACACCATGTGGGTGCTGGGAACTTGTCCTTCCTCTGCAAGAGCAACGGGCGCTCTCAGCCGCTGAGCCGTCTTACCAGCCCCACAGCTGTTTCGAACATTCTCGTTCCACGCATTCATTCGGCTGGATGTTCCTTATTGACTTTTTAATATTATACTTAGTGCTTTGTTTCCCACAGACATGAAGCCATTGTCATCTCAGGAACTGAAATGGCTAAGCAAATCCAAAAAGAAATACAGCAAGGTGTGGAATCATGGATTGCTCTTGGGAACAGGAGGCCCCACCTCAGTATCATTTTAGTGGGAGATAACCCAGCAAGCCACACCTACGTTAGGAATAAGATAAAAGCTGCTTCCGCTGTAGGTGGGTATGTATGTGAGCTGTATTTCTTAGTAAATGTTTCTGTTATGTAAAGGAATACAACTGGGATTGATAATGATCAAAGAAGTACCATTCAAATAACATGGATTATTGTTATTATTAGAGATTATGCTATTACTCAAGCGTATATGAATGTCGTACTGTGTTCAGGTTTCTTATAGAATTATTTCAGTGTGATTCATATTTTATGGGAGAGGCGGTAGGAATCTTTGCTTTTAAAAAAGAGCCTGTGTGTTGGGGGTGAGGATGCCGGTCAAAGAATCACAAGCTAACACCAAAATATTCCACTTATATTTTCTTTATTATAATGGGCAACTCATAGAACAGGAATGAGAAGTCCAACTTCAGGTGTGTAACATTGGAAGCAGAGAGAGAGCGAGCCCTGGGCTGGCCTGTGGTTTTCTCTGGGTACACAAAAGGTCATGCCCTAACCTGGTCTAACCTCTTAAAAGTCATTGGCTGGCAGAGGTCCCCCATCACCTCCCCCTTTTGTCTAAATACGAGAGTTCCAAACACAATACAAAACTATATACACTAGGAATAGATATTAAGTATAAGATTAGGATTACAACCAGCATAAACAATATTAAGCAAGGAACATATGTCAAATGTTTTAATAAACAGTCTTGTATTGGAAATGGCTTGGCTAAATCATAAGAGAAAGGTAACTACGGCTATCTAATCTTCAACCCCATTGAAGACCTGAGAAGAGAGATAATATAACTTGAGTAGGCATGAAGTGCAATCAAGCAGCTTCCAAAATGTGCAGTATATGACAGAGACATCGGCTACCTAAGCATTCACCCAAAGTCTCATTTGCAATGTTGAAGCAACCAACTTTGGTTAAGGCCTAGAGTGACTGACAGACTATTTTCAGAGAAAAATTTTCAGAAAATTTGTAGAACCATCTTACCCTTTCTGGGCAAGGTTTGACAGTCTTTTTTCTTGTGTCCTGCTTATCCAGTCTGGACTCCATGTACTTTGTCAGTGGTGAAGACATGGGCAGTTCCTTGCCCAAAAGCCAATTGTGCCAAGAAGAAAACAGACTCCAAATGGAGTGTCTTTGGTGCTCAACGTTCTCTTGGGAACAGATCAGTGCTGTCAGGAGCAATTGTGTCTCACATCAACAGAACCCCAAGTTATTTAAATGCCATGTTCTACAGATTCTTGAAGTGGATGAAATTACCTATCTAGGCAGATTACAATCTCTATGTATCTAAAGAACCTAATTAGTCTGACTAAAAGTAAAACAAACATGAATGAATATTGACCTATAGTACTTAATACCTGTATAACTTAAAGATTAAGACTTCATATCAGAGCCGGGCGGTGGTGGCGCACGCCTTTAATCCCAGCACTCAGGAGGCAGAGGCAGGCGGATCTCTGGGAGTTCGAGACCAGCCTGGTCTACAAGAGCTAGTTCCAGGACCAGCACCAAATAAATAAATAAATAAATAAATAAAAAGCTACGGAGAAACCCTGTCTTGGAAAAAAAAAAAGACTTCACATCAGAATAATCTGTAAACAAATGTTCAGGAAATGAGGACAATGACCTCAAAATGTAAACAATGTGTAAGTATCTTGATCAGAGGTAGGAATATATAATGTAATATGATAAATCAAAGGTTCCCCATCACCTGTATTCATTGCATTCACTTTAACTGAATCATAAACTTTAGTAATTTCCTGTCTCGCTTGGTCTCTTCAAATCTTCTAAGAGGGGTTATCACAAGTCAGTGCAAGTTGTCACACGGAGTAGTAGCCAAATGGTGCTTAGAAATCAGGAGAGAATCCCCGTACAGTCTGAGAAATCCCTCCTCCTGGGTGACTAGAACACTGACTCTGTAGAAGGGCTTTCCCTTCAGTGGGGCAGGGTCAGAGGAGAGCAGACGTGCATTGGAGAAGAGCGCAGTCAAGTGACCTTCTCTGCTCGTCTTCCAGGTATCTGCAGTGAGCTCATCCTAAAGCCCGAGAACGTTTCTCAGGAGGAGCTTTTGGATACCACTGATCAGCTGAACGTGGACCCAAGAGTCAGTGGTATACTTGTGCAGCTCCCTCTCCCAGGTACGTGATGCTCTCTTGTGTGTCCGGGTTGGGCAGGAGAAAGGGCTTATCATGGTATTGAAGGCAATTCATAGAACACATTCAGAAGAGGACTGGCTATTAGTACAGTAGTGACAGCTAACAGGTTCTTAAAGGTTTATACTTACAAGATGAAAAAACTGAATAGGAAATTTAGGTGTGGGCAAGACACATCCCTGTTCAGCTGGGAGTAATCACAGCTGATTGCAAGCTGAAGGCAGGTGGTGCTTCTAATAAACAATGGTGAAATTAGCAATCTTTTTGTGTCTCTTAAAATTTTTTTTGTTCAGGTATTAGAAACTATCTTATTGTGGTTTGTAAATGTATAATGACATAAAAAGTAGTGTGATTAATATCTATTTACAATATTATCTGTTAAAACATTAATCATAAGAATTAAAGTATCTGTTTTTCTCTTTGTTTTATTTTTTAAATCAAATCATGTCAAGAATGGTGTGCATAGCACTCACTAGCTCAGTATGCAACTGATGTGGCGCAAACATCTTTTCAATGGCATGATGGATTGATTTGCCATATTCCTCTCTAAACCATATATCTTTTATTTGTACATTCGGAGAGTTCCTTAATGTGAAATTTTAGCTGATGTTGCTTCCTTTGGGTTTCTGTCTTCCTTTTCATCATGGCCCCATCCCTTATTTTTTATAATTTCTTTTATTTTACTTTTTTAAAAAAGAAAACAAACTATCTTTTTTCATTTTACATAGCAATCCCAGTTCCCACTCTTTACCTTCCTCTTATTCCCTCCACCTATCCACTCCTTAGAGAGGGTAAGGCACATTGCTTTGGGGAAGGGCCAAGGCTCTCCGTACTATATCTAGGCTGAGCAAGGTATCCATCCAAAGAGAATAGGTTCCCCAAAAGTCAGTACAAGCAGTAGGGATAAAGGCTGGTGCCACTGCCAGTGGCCCCACAGTCTGCCCCAGCCATACAGGTGTTACCCACATTTAAAGACACTAGTTTGCACATCTGCTGGTTCCTTTCCAGTCTGGCTGGTATTGGTGAGCTCCCATTAGCTCAGGTAGACTGTTTCAGTGGGTGTCCCCATCCTGGTCTTGACCTCTTTGCTCATATTCTCACACCTCCCACTCTTCAGCTGAACTTTGGGAACTCAGCCCAGTGCTCTGCTGCAGGTCTCTGCCTCTGTTTCCATCAGTTGCTGGATGAGGGTTCTATGGTGACATTTACGAGAGTCATCAATCTGACGACAGGAGCCTATCCCTTATTTCTTCCTGACCTTCACTCAGTTCTTCACAGGATGCAGTGCTAGCATTCCAGTTGGGTTGCATGTCCCCACTTACATTTCGGTTGAATTCGGCTGGAGTGACTTACTATTCTATGTATGTTGGGGTTTTACAATAGGGTTCTTACCTTTGCTTCCTGCTGGCTCTCCTTGCTGTTCCCTGTTTTCCTGGTCAACTCACAGATGTTACCCTACATTATCGTCTCTTGTTTCTTTTCCCTTCGTCTTCACAGGCCAATCTCCTTGGCCTGTTCTATACTTGTATGGTGTCATGTGGGTGTAAGGCTGGATGCATGCAAAGACACACTTTATGTCTATATTTGAACTACATAATAAATATTCAATTCCCATTCAGGTCTTTGAAAGAAATACGTTGTAGACAGAGGCTTCTAGAGACCTATTGTACAAAATCATGAGATAGTTAATTTATACAACACAAAAATACAATTTTCATAATTAAAAATATTTCAGATGTATCTTCCAAATCACTATATTTCCTTTGTCAGACTTTTGGAGTAGATTGTATTTAGTTTGTCCTAACTAAATCAGATTTTTATCTAATGTTGCCTTTGTGACCAGTGACTTTGTTACTAGTGGCCACTAGATGGCAATGGTGATCTATCTGTTCTACTGACAAAACTGCTTGAATTCTCTATTCCAGAGTAACAGGAACCCCAGCAAATAAATGTGAGGGTGGTTTGAGAGACGAAACTTTTCTATATGCAAAGTCAATAATATGTGCACAAAATACCAGGGGGATCATCCACCAAACTAAGTCTTTGTTATATGAAGATTTCGTATTTACCAATTCAGTTTGAATCCTCACAGTAACTCTGTGGGGGTGGAGCTATCATGGTGTGTATTTGGTCACAAGAACACAGAGGTCATGTCCCTTCCTTCTGAGTAACCATATCTGGATCCAGGCAGACTGATCCCCCACGATAATATTTGAACCATAATTGATACAGTTCCAGGGTATCAGCATTAGCTAGTGGATAAAGTAAATGTTAGACGTGTATGAATACATATTATACCTTTTAATATTCAGAGAGACAGTGATGCTGGAAAAGATGGGTTCTATAAGGAAATTGTCTGGACTTCAGTCTTGTCCCAACACTCACTAGTAGATAACACTGGTCACCTCTTTGTCTCAGTGTTTCCAACTGGCAAGTGAAGAAAATCCTGCATGCTTCATAGCCTTTTTTTTTCTAGCATTAAATAAAATAACCAGCATAAAGGAGTACCTGACACAGAAGATTAATTTTAAATTCTGACTTATTTCGTGATAGCAATCAATCTGATGTAACTTGTCACCATTAAGTCTTTTTTGGTTTAAGTTTTCAGAAAAGACACCAAAGGAATAATAGATATAGGAACCAAGACGAGATTTAAAACAGGTTGGAACAGGAGTAGAGATGGCTTAACAGGTAGATTATTTGTGTAATGGAAAATGTAGATTGTTGTCAAGGTGATAGCTTTTGTTTTGGGTGACAAATTTCTTATACCTATGTTATGAAGAAAAATAAAGAATCCAATGAAATGTGGGTACTTTGGGGTTTAGAGAAAGATTGTGTCCTAAGAGGGGTGGCTCTGTTGGTTAAGTGCTATAAAAATGGGACAATCTAATTTTGGGTTTCTGGTTCCTATGTAAAAAGCTGGGCATGATGTTGCTTGCCTATAACCCTAGCACTGGGGAGGCAGAGGCAGGAAGACCCATGAGACTTGCTTACTAGTTTATCTTGCCAAATCTGTATGCTCCTGTTCATTGAGAATCTATGTGGGATTTCCCTCTGTATGCTGTGAATATGTTTTATTACTGTTGTTTAATAAAGAACCTGCTTTGGCCTATGGTAGGGTAGAATATAGTAAGTCAGTAAATCAGAGCAGAAATAGAGGAGGAAAGAAGGCAGAATCAGGGAGATGCCATGCAGCTGCTGAAGGAGAAAGATGCTGGAACCTTACCAGTAGGCCACAGCCCTGTGGTGAACAGAGATTAATAGAAATGGGTTAATTTAAGAGGTAAGAGTTAGTTAATAAGAAGCCTGAGCTAATAGGGCAAACAGTATTGTAATTGATACAGTTTTTGTGTGATTATGTCTAGGAAGCAAAAGAGCAGTCTCAGTTTACAAGAATCTAGTTCAAAAAGCGAGGAGGGAAGTGACAGGGCAAGACAGCTGATGTCAGTCTCAGGCTTCCACAGACATGAACACATACACACATATACAGCACACACACACACACAAACAGCATGCATGAACACAGGCACCCACACAATACCTTAAAGATGAATATCATCAACAACAAATTATCATATCTTAAAGCTGTGAATTATGGTTAATTCAATTTAAGATTCATTTTAAAACAATTTTAAAATAAAATTATTTTGAAAAGAAACATTTTGCTTCAGATAATTTTATCATGATTTTCAAAATCCCATTCTCATAATGTTATTTGTCTACTTAAAAATTTTGTAGATAACTTTTTTAATGAGGTAAAAGACAAGAAAAAAGGCAGACAACTGTCCTGCAAATGGAATGTATTTCCACTAGGTGGCAGCATTAAGCAAGCACCTTTTTTAATTAATTTTTTTTTTATTAAAAATTTCTGCCTCCTCTCCCCGCCTCCCTTTTTTCTCTCCCTCCCCCCACTCCCCACGCCCCACTTCCCTCCCCTTCCCTCTCCAGTCCAAAGAGCAGTCAGGGTTTTATGCCCTATGGGCAGTCCAAGGTCCTCCCCCATCCATCCAGGTCTAGGGAGGGAAGGTGAGTATCCAAACCGGCTAGGCTCCCACAAAGCCAGTACATGCAGTAGGGTCAAAACTCAATGCCATTGTCCTTGGCTTCTCAGCAGCCCTCATTGTCCATCATATTCAGAGAGTCCGGTTGTATCCCATGCATTTTCAGTCTCAGTCCAGCTGGCCTTGGTGTTCTCCCAATAGATCAGCCCCACCGTCTCAGTGGGTGGGTGCACCCCTCGTGGTCCTGACTTCTTTGCTCATATTCTCCCTCCTTCTGTTCCTCATTTGTACCTTGGGAGCTCAGTCCATTGCTCCAATGTGGGTCTCTGTCTCTATCTCCATCCATCGCCAGATGAAGGTTCTATGGTGATATGCAAGATATTCATTAGTATGGCTATAGGATCGGGCCATTTCAGGCTCTCTCTCCTCAGCTGCCCAAGGACCTAGTTGGGTACATCTCTCTGGACCCCTGGGAATCCCTCTAGAGTCAAGGCTCTTGCCAACCCTAAAATGGCTCCCTTAATTAAGATATATACTTCCCTGCTCCCATATCCATCCTTCCATTATCCCAACCATCCCATTCCCCCAAGCTCTCCCTATCCTCCCCTTCTCACTTGTCTCTCCCCATCTCGTCTTTCCCCCATCCCACTTTTTGCCCAGAAGGAGTAGAAGACTGGAAATAATCAAACTGAGGGCTGAAATCAACAAAATAGAAACACAGAAAACAATCCAAAGAATCAAAGAAACAAAAAGTTGGTTCTTTGAGAAAATCAACAAGATCAACAAACCCCTATCCAAACTAATCAAACGGCAGAGAGAGAACACACAAACTAATAAGATCAGAAATGAAAAAGAAAATGAAAAGGGGGACATAACTACAGACACAGAGGAAATTCAAAGAATCTTTAGATCTTACTACAAAAGCCTGCATGCCACAAAACTGGAAAATGCAAAAGAAATGGACATCTTTTTAGATAAGTACCATATACCAAAGTTAAACCAAGACCAGGTGAACAATATAAATAGATCTGTTAGTCTCAAAGAATTAGAAACTGTTATCAAAAACCTCCCTTCCAAAAAAAGCCCAGGACCAGATGGTTTCAATGCAGAATTCTACCAGAACTTGCAAGAAGAGCTAATACCTATACTCCTTAATGTATTTCACAATAAAGCAAGCACCTTTTACAACTGTTCTGGGGGTCTGTTTGTTTCTGGAGCCACTAATGTGTCTTTCTGTTCATGCCAAGGTATAAACTATTCAAAGAGGGTTTGTTTTATTGTCCAAGTTCATAGACATACCTTTTTTTGAGATGGCTTCTTAAAACAAAACCACACACATAAAAATAATAACAAGAAAACTACTTAAAATTCAGGAATTTCAAAAACAACAGTAATTTTCTGCTTTTCTTCCCATTTTTGCTTTTTCCTTTATCATGTTTTTTTCGTGTATTCATCTCAAAATCCCATTTGCATAGAGTATATTTCTTTTTTAAAAAGTCTTTTAAAATATATATGAACAACACTAAATGAACTCAATGGGGCACATTTAAATATTTATTCACTTATAACAATATATTATTTCCTCACCTGTAACAATAACAATTAAAGTAAAAGAGATCATGAATGATATAGGAGCTGGACTGGAGGTGTGAGAGCAGCAGAGGGAGAAGAAGGAAGGGCTGATATAAAAACAGCACACAAGAAATTTAAAATATCATTTAAATTTAAAAAATAAGATACATGTATTTATAGACTGTGTATTATTTAATTTAATTTCCAAAAACTCTGGCCCGATAACCCAGGGGAGATGGATAGTTAAGGAACAATCTGAACAGTAGCAAAATTACAGTTGTGAAGTAGCAATGGCAATAATTTTATGGTTGGGGATCACCACAGCATGAGGAAATGTATTAAAGGGCCGCAGTGTTAGGAAGGTTGGGAACCACCAGCCTAATGGATCCCACCGGCTCCGTTTCCAACCTTTACCAGACTCAAATTTGGAGTTGCAGTGGCTCCATGAGGTGAGATTCACTTCCCATTCCTTTTCTTTCCCCCAACTCTCAAAGATAAAATCATTTATGGATGATATTGGACAAGGAGGCATTTTATAAGTATTATCTGTCTTGAGGGTTTTTTTTTTATGTAGAATACAAAGAATGTTTATTGAGACTACATTTAAACTGTTTGGGCAAATATTTGCGCCATTAGAATGTAAGTTCCAAAGAACATGAATTTTGTCTTTGGCTCACTTACACATCCTAACTCCCCATTGGACACATTGCTGTGGAATATTATTTTAAGTGAGCAAAGATGTATTCCAGTTGTTTATGCTACAGGATTTTTGCTTTAACTGTGCAAAGGTGTGTTACTCTGGTTTGTGCTGCGTTTGTTTAGTTATGTAAAGGTGTGCTACAATGGTTTATGCTGCAGGATATTGCTTTAACTGTGTAAAGGTGTGTTACTCTTGTTTGTGCTGCGTTTGTTTAATTATGTAAAAATGTGCTGCATTTGTTTCACCTTGCCTGCCTAAGGCACCTGATTGGTCTAATAAAGAGCTGAACGGCCATTAGCCCAGCAGGAGAGGGATGGGCGGGGCTGGCAGGCAGAGAGAATGAGTAGGAGGAGAGATCTAGACAAAGGAGAGACGAGAACTAGGAGGAAAGAGAGGGACATGCTCAGACAGAAGCCAGACAGCCACCAGACAGACAGACACGGGAAGTCAGTGAAAGTAAGAGATACAGACGGAAAGAAAGGCAAAAGGCCCTGAGGCAGCATGTAGATGAAGAGAAATGCTGTAAGTTAGAAGAGTTAGTGGGACAAGCACAAAACATGGCTGGGCATTCATAACTAATTAGAAGTCTTCATGTCATGACTTGGGAGCTGGGTGGTGGCCAAAAAGTCTGGTGCAACACGTGGAACACATTCAACTATCAGTTGAGTGAATATACGAGTGAATTTTCAAATCCTTACATGCTAAGGGTGTGAACGTTATCTTGGTAGCATGAAGCAATGTGTGGAATTTTTTATTTTTCAAGACTTGAAAGAAGTATTTCACCTCAAGTTGATACTGGATAATATAGTAGTGCCAAGTGTTCAAAATATAAACATATCTTTCAATATATTTCAGAATCTAGTATAGTGTTAAGATTAAGACTGCAGTGAATTTTTAAGTCAGTCTGGGAAAATTGAAACATTATTGTGTTTTCCAGTCCATGAGAGAATATGACTTGGTCCACTGTCAGCAATCTTTTGTAGTTCTTATTACAGGAGTTGTTCTCAAATTTTTAGAAAAATTTATTCCTAAGAATGTTGCTGTTTGTTAGGTATTATAAATAGTAGCTTAGAATAATTTTATTGTTTGATGATTGCAGCTTGCATGCTGAAATGCACCTGGTCTTTGTGTACTGACTTCATGCTGTGTGTTCTTGGCTGAACTGACCTTGACAGTTCTGCCCTTATCTTACAACCTCTTTAGATAGCCAGAATAAGCTGCAGAGGGACACTCAGGATCAGTTACGTACTTTCTTTATTTTTAATTTATTTATTTATTATGTATACAATATTCTGTCTGTGTGTATGCCTGAAGGCCAGAAGAGGCAACCAGACCCCACTACAGATGGTTGTAAGCCACCATGTGGTTGCTGGGAATTGATCTCAGGACCTTTGGAAGAGCAGGCAGTGCTCTTAAACACTGAGCCATCTCTCCAGCCCAGTTACGTATTTCCTTTGTGACTTCTATGACTCTTTCCTTTTTCTTATGGTTTTCAGCGAGGACCTTGACTCCAGAGGTGAATAGGAATGGGAGTGGACTCCTTTGTCTTCTCATCTTCAGGCTCAAGGATCAGTGTTTTCCTCCTAAGGCTGCTGGCTAAGGATTTGGAAAATGCCTGTACCAGACTGACACTCCGGCTCTGTTTTCTTCCTGGGTGTGCTGCAGCTGTAACCCTGTTTCCTTGCCAGTCCTCTCACCTTTTCACCTGGGCTTTGAGGAGTTTGCTTTTTCTTTATGTTGTTAGGGGGTTCGCCAGAGGTGTTAGCAGAATTTTTGCACATTTGGGTAGCCTCTGTGACCTCCTCTTTTACTCTACTTAATCTACAGTGTTCATTTTTTTTAACACACTAATTAGTGGACATGTCTTGTGGTGGAGAAAAGTGGATTTGGTTCCCTTAAATCTTCAAGCATGTTGAGGCAAAGACATCTGCCTACTTGTGGCTGCATTTCCTAGCAATTGTTCATGCCACACAATTCTCCAGTCCAGCCACTATATTCTCTTAGTAGCCTATGTTCTAGATATAGCCAATCACAGCTACCATCCAAGAGCAATTCAGTTTACTATTTTTTTTTTTTTTGGTTTTTTGAGACAGGGTTTCTCTGTGGTTTTGGAGCCTGTCCTGGAACTAGCTCTTGTAGACCAGGCTGGTCTTGAACTCACAGAGATCCGCCTGCCTCTGCCTCCCAAGTGCTGGGATTAAAGGCGTGTGCCACCACCGCCCGGCTTCGGTTTACTATTTGATGGCAAGAATAGAACAACAATTTTATGTGTCTTGGAGCTGATCTATCTATAGTTCCCCGTTTTTCATTCTCCGGGCTTTCACATAAACATTAATTTTAATAGAGACCAATTGTATTTACTTTTCAGACCATGTGGATGAAAGAACAATATGCAACGGAATTGCCCCAGAAAAGGACGTGGATGGATTTCATATTATCAATATTGGAAGACTGTGCCTCGATCAGCATTCTCTGATACCTGCCACTGCCAGTGCTGTCTGGGAAATAATTAAAAGAGCAGGTTGGTCACTTGGGAGTGTGGGAAACTAGTGCCAGATGCATGGGAGCTCTGGAGCCTTGCTTGGGCAGAACTACCTGTGTATACAAGCAACAAAATTGATAAGCATAAAATTAAAGGCTATAAAAATATTATACATTTATGAATGTCATGGAACAAGACAGAATGGACGGAAGTGAAGAACATCTGCCAGTTGATCAGCCACTCCGGTCGGAGCTTATAGTGAGTGGACCTTCCAGATGTGGCCATGTCTTCCGACTTTCAAATTATGCATTTTGATGAGAATCTTTCCCAAGTGTAGACTGTTTTCTTACTAAGATAATGTGTCAATTAAGCAAGAACCTTGTCTGTTGACAGTGGGTTTTAATAAAAGCATGTGGACTTCTACTGTGCTAGACACATTGTGTTCTCACAGGCTGGTGGATACGTTCCTGAAGCTCTGTGGCTTTGCACACTGGTGGCTTTCCTGCCCCCACCACGGTCACTGCCCTCTTGGAGGCACTCCGAGAGAAAGCAGATTCTAGAATCAAACACTTGGCTATACATACTTGGATAAACGTCAGTTCCAATTTTTTTATTTTACCTGTGAAGATATATGGTTCCCCCACATGACAGAGAGCTGGCTTTCAGAGTAGGGCTTCTTCCTGCGGAGTAAAGTGTGAGTTATCAGCTTTATGTTATCCCGGTCTCACTGCAGGCTGACTGCCATTGCTGCTTAATATCGCTGCATGAACTTCTTAGTCTGATTAGCGGGTAATGTATTTAAAGACTGTACACTTCATATGCGACTCAGCGTTTAAAATGACTTTAATGGCAACTTGAGAATTTTTGTGGTTTGTAAATGAGGACATAATGAGAGGGTAAATGGCAAATCCAAGAAGTGTAAAAGGTAATATTTATAAATAATCCAGTGAGGGCATGCTGCGGACCAGGAAGAAAATCCAAATTTAATTAGACATTTTTAAAGAACATTTCAGTTGGCTTTTCAGATGTTTCACTTGCTTTATTTTTGTGTGTGTTAGTCATGCATTTAATCAAACTGTATTTTTTTTGTAAGGAATTGAAACATTTGGGAGAAATGTGGTTGTAGCAGGGAGATCCAAGAACGTGGGCATGCCGATCGCCTTGCTACTGCACACGGACGGGGGGCATGAGCGCCCTGGAGGTGAGTGCCCTGGAGGTGAGCGCCCTGGAGGTGAGCGCCCTGGAGGTGAGCGCCCTGGAGGTGAGCGCCCTGGAGGTGAGCGCCCTGGAGGTGAGCGCCCTGGAGGTGAGCGCCCTGGAGGTGAGCGCCCTGGAGGTGAGCGCCCTGCAGGGCTTTGCGGTGGGAGCTCCTCCTCACGTCAAGAAAGGACCCCTGATGGCGTGTGCGACTCTGCACACTCGTGGGTCTGTGCGGCTCATCTCGTGGTGTGAAAGCCTGGAAAGTACAAAAAGGAATTTCTGATATATTAGCTGCATTTTTTCTGCTGTGAGCAATACTGCCTGCTGGAGAGTTTATTTGGGGCTTACAGTTTCAGAGGGTCAGAGTTCATGATGGTGGAAAGGAGGTAGCTGGTGGCTGGGGCAGCAGCTGAGGGCTCAGTCTCTAAGTAAGCAGGAGGTGGAACACACTGAGAATAGCAGGAGGCTTCAAAACTCAAAACCCAGCAACATACATCTTCCAACACAGCCGCACCTCCCAGTCCTTCAGTAGTTCCTCCAACCGGAGACCAAGTGTTCACATGCATTAGCCTCTCCGGGCTCTCCTTGTTCAAACCACTACTGCTGAAAATATGTGACCCCTTTGGTCCATTTCTTTTGCTTTCTTTCTTCCTATTTTACTTATGGCTGTACTTTTTTTCCCCCTCAGCAATAATATAGACATTAAAAAAAGGCTAAAAGTCACGACATACATAAAAATCACTACTCCGGAAAATTCTCATATCTGTTAGAAGTTGAACGTTGAGTCATAAAGTGGTTTAGTATACCACAAGTCAGTTGCTTAATAGGAATGGAACCTGGGACTTAGGACTCATAGCTGAATGTCTGGGTTAGATAACTAAGTCTGAGGAAGAGCTTAGACTTAACTCTGCAGGAAGAGCAGCCACTCACCGTGAAAGCCCAGTATGATGTAAAGATGTTGGAGAACATGCGCCACATTGTCTGGGTGCCTGCGGCTCACCACCCTCCTAGGACCTTGGCATTTTCCCTAATAGCTGGGTGCCGAGCAGATCTGCGGTGAGGACTGGCGACCGGGTACAAAAGAGATTTTGCAAAGCACGGGGGGCACTGTTCATAGTGTCTGAGCCAATGTTGTGGCATAGGACCAAAAGTTATCTTTATTAGGATAATACATATGAAGGATTTTTTTAAAACTCAAATTAATATGGACTTATCTCAAGCAATGGCCAGATAGGGGGCCATACACATTTTTTTAGACCCATCTCTCAGGAATCAGAGGCAGGCAGATTCCTGTGAGTTCAACGTCAGCTTTGGCTACATAATGAATTCTAGGCCAGTCAGAGCTATTTAGTGAGATACTGCCTCAAAATAAATAATGAACGAATGAAGAGGATGAGCATGAGGCTTTTGAATATTATGTTCTGTTCTAAGGGCCCAAGTATCATAAGAGACTAATACATGCGTATGGCCCATAGTAAGTAAGGCTTGGCAGTGACTCCAGGCAGGTGCCAGGGCACCCGTCTATCCGGGCATCTCTCAGGCTCTCTTCTTCCCTGCCAGCTCACTCTGCTGCTTACTATTCTCACAGCTGAAGAATACTGGTTCACCCTGGACTTCAGATAGCACTTTTATGTTAAGCCAGGTAAACCAGAAGACATTTTACAAGAATACATTACTTCTTGTGGAAAATGTTGATCAAGAGAAAAGAAAGTCTTTCTTTATTTTCAACATTCAGTTTTCTCGACTTATTAATAACTTACCAAGCATCATTCTGAGCCCATGTTTTGATGAGCACTTTCTCATAAACTGTCTAGCCAGTTTGCAATAATTCTGGTACATAGAATTAATTATTATTCCCATTTTACAGATAAAGCTTGTAAGGCTCTTACGGGCTTTGAGGAAGTGTCTGTCTCAGAACTGGGAGCTAGGGATGAGCACCTGCCAGGGTTAGCAGCATTGATCAAGATATAGACTCATTGCTGATTCTTTCAACAGCCGATTATCCTTTGTAGACTTTTACTTTTATTGTCTGAGACACGCATAGCCTTAATATACTCTCTCAGTTATTGGGAAAATTAAATGATATAGAAGTTTTAATAAAGCACTAGTTACAATGTATTTGAGGTGTTAATACCTAACACACAGTAGATTAAGTGAGTTATTGCATGTAGCCATGACAATTGCTGTTGTTTCAATAATTCTCAAGTTGATAACCTGTAACACACCGCTCACATGTTTACAGAAAAATGCCCTGAAGTTAATGATGATTTCTTCCTTGACTTTAATTTGAAACTTAGTTTTTTCTCATTGAATTTTATTTTTGTTTTTAAAAATAGTATTTAGTTTATTTTTAACATTTGAATAAATTCAGTTTATGAAGGCTTAGAAAGCCATGGGTAGATATTGCTGCCATGATACTCCAACACTGCTTGACAACATGCCTTTTCTTGCAGGTTTTACTGTTACATGCTAATTTCTTGTCATATTTCAATTATGAATTATTTATAAACTACCTTAGACAAACTATCCCCATTTAATTCAATTTTAGGCTACCTAATACTATGTTACAAATATTGCCTTATACATTTTAGCAGATGTAGCTATTTATAGATACATACATATGTATTAAAATATCAAAATAAATGTAAATTTGTGGTGGTAATGATTTTTTGAGGAAAGAATTATGGACTTAAACTGATTATTTTTAAAACATCTCATATTTTGTTCAATAAAATTTCTCCCCTTAATGAACACTAAAATGAAATACATGGAGAATCATTTATAATGCTGCTTTTAAGCCAGTTGGTTAAATTTACCTTTATTATAGGGCGCCCTACTTCCGTTATGATTGTTGTATCTAAAAGGTAACAGATCATACTAAAGATGATATTAGAGTTTTAGGCACCTGGGTGGTGTGTAATTACATACACATTTAGTAGGATCATGGTGACATCTATTACTGATATAATGAATTGTAGTAAGCGACTTAGTGACTATTTGGAGTGTGTGGGAAAGTTAGGGTTTGGATGTCTTGGCCTGGAAGAGCAGTAATTACATGCATTGTTAGCTAATGGAGATAATGAAGGTGGATTAACTGCAAATTCATATCCAAGGAACTTGCTCTAATGACACAGTGTTGAGTATTTAGCTCACATTGTGCATTGTTTTGCCAGAAGAGACTCAGAGCCTACTAATTCATTTTTTAATCTCAAGGACAAAAATAATTTCACTAAAAGGAAAAGACAGCTATACTGTCAATTAGTTTAATATGTGTCTGTTCCCAATTCACTTTAACTTTTAGCATTAAGAGCCTGAAGCTCAGGTATTTGTAAGAAAAATTCTTTAGTTTACTGAGCTGTGTGTGTGTGTGGGGGGGGGGAGGGGAGTGGCGCTTGCCACATTCAAGAGTGAGAATGTACTTAGCTCTCTAAGTGAGAAGCCGGCACCATGCCCCTGTCAGCGGGCAGGCTGCACCCTTCTCCCTCAGCATTGGACAGAAGCAAGGAGGAGGCCACGGGCTCTGCAGGGAGCCCCCACAGAGCTCCTACCTGGAGAGACTGATTCTCTCCTCCTTGACAGTCTTGGTGGAAGTGAGTGATGAAGGGGGCAGGGGAATTTGTGAAGGTTCTGTGAGAAGCAAACATTCTGTTACTTCGGGCAGCCCACAGGCTTCCATGAAGTGACATCACAGGGTAACAGAAGCAAGTTGTGTCTTGTGAAACTCAGCACTTCCTACAATGTTTAAGAACTATTGTGACCATCATGAGGTTATAGGGTATTCCTTTTTTTTTTTCCAAATTTAACTTTTTCTAAATTCTTTGTGGTTTTCACATCATGCGGGTCCCACTCTTCTTTCCATCCATCCTCTACCCTTGCAACTGCCCTGACCCGGGGAAGAAAAGAAAAGAAAAGAAAAATCCCACTGTGGAAGCTGCAGAGTGACATAGTGAGCCACACGGTCCTTTAGTCCGTACATTGTTACTTGTAAGTGTTCATTGCATTTGAGGTCTCTGTTTTTTTGCTATATCATCAATACTAGGCCCTAAATGGGGCTCCTATTTGATATCCTGTTCTCCTGTGTCAAAGAGATCCTGGGTCTGCAGGACCTTCTTGTGGAGAGTTGTCCCTGAGGTCACTGGAGCGAGGCACCTGGTCCCGCCTCTTGCCAACTGCAGCACAAGGCAGAGTAGCCCCTTGAGTAGGCAACACAGTAGAGCTGCCCCTAGTGATTTAGGTGTGGGCAAGCCAACCCTGAGGACATACGAGCAGGAGAATCACCCCGCCCCTTGCTCACTACAGAGGGTGAACTAGCCAGGGCAGTACTGGAGAGTTCACCTGATCTTGAGGATGAAGGAGAGCTGCGGACTGACCAACCCTGCAACCACCCAGACACAGAGCTATGAGTTGGCCCATCCCACCATCCACCCCATTTAGGGTATATTTTTGACACTTTTATATGTAGCAACAGAAGAAGCTTCTCTTTCTCCGAGAATGGAAACCCAATACTACTGGCTTTTAAGCCCAGTGACTTTGTCTAGCTTTCCCATAATGAAGGAAGCCTGGGGAAAACCCTCTAACAATGCCTTTAAAAACATTTTTTCACATCATGATAGCAGAGAGCCCTCCTCCATCAAGGTACTATAACTATTACCTGTCAGTAGTAGAATTTAGAATCTAATTTTCCTTCCCATTCATTTAGAGAAAGCTCCTCCTGCATACGTTTACTCTTAAACAGCACATCTCACTAGAAGTGACCAATGAGGTGGCCATGACATTGGTTACATGCTCTTTGACTGAAATGTGGTAGCATTGCTAAGAGTGAAGAAGACTTGGTCTCTTTCTCCCGAACTCAGTGCTCTTCATCTTCAGATTCACCGTTGGAAGGCGCGTTTTCTCCAAGCACTGGCCACATGGCACCTAACTGATGTGGGATTCCCATCTGTATGCTGTGATTACCGTTAATGAATAAAGAAGCTTTGGACCTATAGCAGGGCAGAACTTAGTTTGATGGGGAAAACTAAGCTGGATGCTGGGAGAAAGGAGGTAGAGTCTGGCATGTAGCCCCGCCAGAGATAGATGCTGGATTTTTTC